TCGCATACTCACACTCCTTTAAAAAAATTTTTTTGTATTATTATTTTAAGGTTCAGTTAACTTCTGAACAGAGAGCAAAAGCAATTATACTGCTTAAAAACGGTTTTGCTTCAAGAAAAATTGCTGTCAAAGTTGGTTGTAAAAGCCATACAACCATTTCAAGACTCAAAAAAAAGTATGAAGAGACTGGTAAAATTGAAAATAAACCTAGTTCAGGTCGTCCAAGAAAACTGAATGAGCGAGATGAATGTTCTCTTATAAGACGTTTAATGACAAAGGAATGTACAACCGTGATCCAACTCCAAAAATCACTAAAAACTTCTAACAATATTGAAGTCAGCACTAATACTATTCGTAGAGCTTTGAAAAGAAATGGTTTGGTAACTCGAGTAAAGCGTAAAAAGCCACATTTATCAAAAAAACATCGTGAAAAACGCTTTAAATTTGCAAAGAGATATAAGGATTGGACAATAAATAAATGAAGCAAGGTTGTATGGTCAGATGAGTCCAAATTTCAAATATTTGGTTTAGATAAATGTGAGTATTATTGGAAAAAAATAGGAGAACCCCTTCAAGATACTCATATTAAACCTATTATTAAGTTTGGTGGTGGAAGTGTTTTTGTATGGGAATGTTTTTCATCTTGTGATGTAGGTTATCTTTGTAAAATAGATGGTAAGCTTAATGCAGAACTTTATCGTAAGATTTTAGATGAAGACTTTATGGAGACTTTGCAGTACTATGAATTAAGTACTAATAATATTATCTTTATGCAAGATAATAATCCTAAACATACCACTATACTAACTAAAAAATTGTTTGAAGTCAATAATGTAGAGCTTTTACCTTGGCCGCCATAATCTCCCGACTTGAATCCAATTGAAAACTTGTGGAATGATGTGGATTGTCATATTAGAGTATTAGATATTGAAATTAAAGGAAAAGATATGTTATGGGAGCAAATTCATAAGATATGGGAAGAAACTGCATTGGAAATATGCACCAAATTGATAGAATCAATGCCAGAAAGAATAAATGATGTAATCAAAGCAAAAGGTGGTTATACTCAATGGTGAGAATATTTGGTGAAATTTTTAATTGAGATTAATTTAAATTTTTTTAAAAAAATTTAATAAATTTGTTATATTTGCGAAAGCGCCATATTAAATGCACCATTATTTAATAATGAATTATGTGATAAAAATTTTTCCGATTTATCAAGTATTATTAAAATTGATATATTATAAAGATCTTATAATATACTATATATTTAATAAATATTCAAATAATCAGATTTTGTTATTAATCATAAAGCACATGATTAATAATATGCAGTATAGTGGTGCGTTTTTTTTGGAAGCCACTGTATATCTGAAGCTTTAGTATATTTATCATATTTTTGTCCTTAAAATACCTATGGAGCAATATAAAGAATAACTCCATAATACTTATTATAGTTAATTAACAATTCTGTTATCAATTTACTAATTTCTAAATCACATAATACAATATCGTCTTCATTTTCGCATAGAATATTTCCACTATAAAAATCTCGATGAATAATTCCTAAATCATGAAAATTCCCAAGTGCAAGGATAATTTCTCTTAACATTTTTAATTTTGATTCCATTCAATATTATAAAAGTTTTTAATTATATAATGTTTTAAATTATATTTATAATGTTTTATAATTATTATAAAATCTCCCGTATTAGGATTTTGTGTAATTCCATAATGTCTATTTAAATAAAATAAAGAAGTCATTTAAATCAGCTTTATAAACTTTATAAACCATTATAACCTAAATTTATAAAAGAGTAAATATATTAGTAAAGATTTATAACTATACACATATATCAGTTAATATAAAATCTAATATATCTCATTTAATTTCATTAAAAGAAATATTTTTAAAGTTATTGAGTTGTTTTAAAGCAACAATTATATTAATATCATTACATTCAAATACTTCTTTTTCTTTGTTCTAATAAGATAGACCATTTTTCCAAATAGCTTTATAAACTGTGCTAAATCCACATTTACCAATAATTACTATATGTTTAAATTAAATATAAGGAATAAACTTCATTCTACTAGAATCTTGAATAAAATTAATTTACGTATATTTGATAAATTCATCAATAATTATATTTCCGCTTGCATTTTATAATAGGTTTGATTGATAAAAATTACGCATATATCATGATATACTTTTAAAGGTCTTCTATGTTTTGAGCAATATTTATATTATAAAAATTATTTTCCGGTTTAATTACAAATCCTTGAATTCTTATTAATTTTATTTTTTGCATAAAAATCTTGGATTATATTTTATTTTCTGCACCTTTTTTAAACCAATGTAAGGATTAGACTTGTCCTAAAAATAAGACCCAGGTCATCTGGCAGATGGGTCATCGGGTCACCCTTTAAGATCATGACCCAGATATCTGGTCGACCTGTGGGTAATCTGGTTGTACCCGACCTGGAGTCCAATCCCTAAACCAATGTATTGCCTTTTTTAAATATTTTGTGTTCCTTGACCAGAATCATATAAACATCATGCAAGAGAATACTATGCTTTGATTTCTCCATTTTTTGCTGCCTTTTTATATCAAATACTTTATTTATACTTTTTTTTACTCCTTCACTCTTATAATATAAATTATTAAAATTGTATTGTGCAAATTCCTATAAGAAATCAAAATAAGGAAATGATATGTTTTTTATAAGGTTTGTATATGTAATTAATGATTCTATATCAAAA